CCGGGGGCACGCGTAAGGCTCCGGGGCTGGAGAGGTTGGGGAACACCGCTCGGCACTTGGCACTTCAGTTTATTTGGTTGGTTGTTGTGTTCCTGTTGTTGAGAGCCTTACAGTCAGAACCGACCCATAGCTGACCCTCCGACGGGTTTTCAGAGGCAGTTAATCGCACTGGAGGAGATTGGCCATCCTTCTCCCACGGAGCAGCTGGCTGACTCGAACCGCCTGCCTTGGGGATCGCAGTACAGCTTCTTGCCACTAGGCCACCAGAGAAAATACCCTTTCCCATGCTATTCCTTTTGTAGTCCTTCATTTCCTCCCTTCTTTCTTCTAGGGGAGCCCTGGTGACTTCTTGTTAGATCCTGGTGGCTTAATGGTAAAGAATTGTACGGCCAGCCCCACCAGAGGTACGCAGCAGTTCGAAGCTACTAGGCACTCCCCAGGAGGAGGGTCTCCTCCTGTGTGATTTCCTGCCTCTGAAAATCTGCTGGAGGGTCAGCCACGGGTCGGGAAAATACTTAACCTGCTCATAGTCTCAGCATTAGATTAGACCAGATCTAAGACGTGAATCAGAAGTCCCAGGGGGTCTGCCGGTTGGTGAGACCACCAGGACCAGTTGAGAGACAGCAGCAAATGCCTATTTCTGAATGAAAAAACCCAACCCGTTGCTGACCAGTCAGTTCTAATGGAAAGAGTAGAACTTGCTTTCGCATGGCGTTTCCAAGGCTGTAATCTTTAAAGAAACAGTTGTTATTGTGTATCATCTAGTCTGAACTGACCCTCAAGGGGGATTTTCAGAGGCAGTTAATCGCACAGGATGAGATTGCCCAGCCTCCCGAGGAGCTGCTCAATTTGTGTGCCTTAGGGATTGCAGCGTTTTCTGACCACTAGGCTACTAAATTCCCTAAATAAACAGACCGCAGCGTATTTCTACATAGAGCGAATAGTAGGTTCAAGCCACCCACCTGGACTGTTTGATTAACAACCTAGCACTTAATCACTGTGCCACCATGGCTCCTACACATACTTCAACTCTTTTCTCATTGCCATTAAAAAAAAAAAAATAAATCTCTTAGGCCAGTTCAATTAATGCTCACTGGGTGATACATAGATGATTAGGGCTGGTTAATTGTCAGCAGGCCATGGTGTAGCCTATTTGACCAAAGACAACTCTGTTTATGGCTAATTTTCAGCTAATTATTCCCAGCTTCCCAGATCCTGGGGGTTGGGGGGTGGGCCCAAACATTTGCAGTCCGATGCTAACATAAAGGTAAAGCTTGAGGAGCAGAAGTGGTGCTGCTAATAAAAAGAACATGGCCCCTTAGATCCAGCTCTACAGTAAAACAAGATAACACTCTCTCCCTGATAGCCTTTAATTTTATGAGCCAGTCTCTTTTTAACTTCAAGGTGACTTCAGGATGTAGTTCCAGTTGGAAGTTTAAAGAGTATCTTAAGACAATAATCTTGGAGAGACTGCTATAGATCTGGACTTTGCAAGAATTTGAGTTCTGCTTCCATTTTTCTCTCCTTCTATCAGAGTATATCTCATCTAGCCCTGGTCAGAATGGTTGGTAGTGGAGTGGGCACTATCTACTTCTTCTGATCTCAGAGGAGATGAAGTGGTAGTTTGTGTAAACTAAGACCTGTGTGATGATTTCTCCTCTGAATCTTTGGTTTTCTTCTGTTTTGCTCTCCAACAATTGCTGTTGAGATCCTTCCAATTCATAGTGATCTGCACCTGGGTTTCCAAGACTGTAAATCTTCATGAAGGGAGATTTTTTTCCATCTTATTTCTGCAGAGTAGCTGGTGGGTTTGAACCACTGACCTTTTTTATTAGCAGCCCAACACAGAATGCATTATACCAGGATCCCTTAATAAATACTTACAGAATATCTTAATTCAGACTCACCACATATCAAATTCTCAGTGGCCACATGTAGCTAGTGACTATTCTATTAGACAGCACAGGGTTTGATTGGATCTCGTTAAATAAAATTTTTCTTTTATAGTGGTTTATTTACAAAGTTCATAAACATTGTTTTTCACACTGGATCTTTCCCATTTCCCTTACCTACCCCTCCCTCCACCCATCAAATTGTGTGACCCTATGATTAACACCACCCCCCTCCTGCCCATCCTCATCCCTCCCCTTGGATCTTCATACACATTATACACTAATGGTCTTATACAGTATTTGTCCTTATGGGACTGAGTTAGTTAACTTAGCATAATGCTCTCCAGTCCCTCCCAAGTTAGGTAGTAATTTACAAAATCATTGCTTCTGCGTGTTGCTACATAGTATGTTCCATCGTGAGGACAGCACAGTTTTGAAGGATGAGCAGTTTACTAGAAAAAGGAGAAGAGGCTGCTCCAAGCAAAGGAGTGTGAGCAAAAACTTCAGGGAGATGTTTGGAATATCTACGGAGAAGGTTAGGAAACAGTGGTAAATGAAACCGAAATTTCACATAGTGGTCAGCCTGTGGAGAAAGTGGTTTTGAGTATTACATAGGAAGAACTTTAGGAGAAAGACTTTATATGCTATAATAATATGATCAAGTCTGCACTTCAGAAAGAACACTCTAGCAGAAGAGTGGAGGATGACTGGATGGGGACAAAGCGAGGAGACGGAAGAGTGGTCAGGACACTATTGTAAGAGTCTAGTTAAGAAGTAGCGACGGTCTAAAGAAAGGAAAAGACAGGAATTCTTTGAAAAGAGGAGCGAGGAGGGGGTGAAGTCAAAGAAACGAAAAACAGAAGGACAAACAGGATTTGATGCTTAACTGAATATAAAAGAGAAAAAAATATATGGAATACTTTTGAGGTCTTTGGCTTATTCAGGTAAAACATAATATCCTTCACTGAGATTCTGGTATAAGTTTTCTTTGAAAACCTTATAGTATTGTTGTGATAATTAAAATTAATATATCCAGGAAGTCATTAGAATGCCTAACATGTAATAAGGACTATATAACTGTTCATTATTAGTACCACTGTGACCATAATTACTATAATCACCTTCTTCAGCTGGATATTAAAAAAACAAGCAATAAAGGAAATTTTGTTGTAGAAGCCATTGGGCAGAATGTTTAATATATTGGCCTGGAGCTCAGCAAAAGCCTAAATTAGAGACAATAACTTGGTCATAGTTATTGTTGTTAGGTGAGTTGACTATGACTCATACTGACCCTATGAACAAAGTATCTGAACCCTACACTATCTTGAGCCTCTCACCACCTCTGAAATGTTCTAGCCTATTGGTACAGGAATAATGTCAATCCATCTTGTTGAGGATCTTCCTCTCTTTTGCTCACCCTCCACCTTTCCCAGTAGGATGTCTTTTTCCAAGGTCTAAACATGCTCAAAGTATTTGAAATTAAGTTTAACCATCCTTGTCTCTCTAAGGAGCATCTTTTTTTATTATTATTATTAAATTTTATTAGATTTAATGAACATTTACAGGGATTTTGGGTTTTCATTCCTTCATTGCTGCACCATTCTCTCCACCCTCCTCCCCAGTTCGTTCTTCTTCCCCCGCC